ATCTTTGGTTGGTCCGTCCATCCAAGCACAACATCCCTGTATCGGTGATTCGGTTTAAAGTAGCCATATCCGGGATGTACCCATAGTTGGTCTTGAGTTCCAATTATTGCTCTTCTGGTCTCCTGAATAAAAAAAGAGAAAATGTGAACTTGGTGAGCCCAAAATCTGGGTCTTTGCAACCATTTTATGAAAACACCTCGGGTAAATAGCCTATGCGGGTACATCTGCATCTATTGTAATTAAGGCGATGAATACACAGCACACAGAATGTTTACGTTTCGGCTCCCTTGTGGCGTCGGACATTGGTGAATCAACAGGTTTGTTCTCTATAATACCAATCAGGAGTTTACCCAATTTATTGGAATTTTGGATCCTGCAGACGCAGTAACATGCATCAATTCATGAGAAGCGAATTTTCACTTGTCAGAAACCTGTTTTCTGTAGCGTTGTGACAGCCGGGTGCGATCGTGAATGTTTTATTTCCATGGCCAAAATGGTGCGATCGGTCAAATAAGTTAGCCTCACGGCGGTTAGCCAAAAGGCATCAGGTTGACAGAAGGAAACAACGTTAGAACGTTGGTCCGCTGTCCTGCAACCAGACTGGCTACTGTGGTTTTGTGTCTTTGTGTGAGACTTTTCAATGTCCCTGTCAAACATGCAATGCGTGACTTTACGTTAACGGTTTTCACCTGGGCCTGGGTATATGAATCCCTTGCCTGTATCTCAGTTCCATGTTCAGGCAGAAAATTCCCCAAAAAAGTAAATCCAACCCGCTACAGTCCAGCCATTCAAAACATCCTTTTTACTCCTACTGGCTACATCCGTTACTCTTGCTGACCACTTGGATTCAAACCATACTATGCACCGATCGAGTCGACAGAAAGCACTGACTCTGTCGTACTGTTTGCACAGCCTTATGTTATACATTACTAGCCATCATTACCAACCAATTTAAAGGTCAACAAATGCATGGCGTGGAGCAGGTGTTCTATTCATCTGCCCACAAAAAACCAGCTTGGAGTCACGCGCGGGACGACTGAGATGCCTACTGAAAGCCTTACTCCAAATTAAAATAGCGCAAAAGCAAATTGGTGTGCGGAAAATTACATCCACCGTGATCCACTCAGTCTTTCACTTCGATGCTGTTTAACCCGCTACCCAAATGTTGCGCGCTATGCAGTCATCCAGCAAGCTGAATTGGATCGCCCATGTCAAGAGAATAGCAGCAAGTAAAAAGAACACACTCGATAGCGCCCTCCTGTCACAACGCCGAGGGAAATGGGTTTGCGACTCCGGTGAGGATTCTCCTCCCACGGCAACACTTGTTACAGGGCCTATATAAGTTGATCTTACAGCCGTTTCCCAAGTGCATTACTTGACACCCTTGATTGATGTCTTATGTTGATCGACTGAAGAAAGCTTCTAACAGCTGCTCTCTGGAGACGACACGTGGTATGCCATTCTCCTGGACAGTGTTACCGTTACCAAGAGGATTCGGACTGATCGCCCTCTGTTTTTCATACGATGGACAAACAAAATGATGTTCCGTTCCTTCTTGAGCAATTGTTTTTCAAGGAATGTATAAACGACCGTGATAATGTATCACTGGAGGCTAAAAACTATAAATTTGCTAGATCAATCGACGCCACCTCACTACCACACAAGTCTCCAATCTCAAAAGATCTTGTCACCCTCTAACTGGAACCAGCCCGTCCGGTTCCGTGTGGTTCGACCAGGAGTTGAGGCCCTTTGAAAGATCACTCCTACCTCTCGAAAAGACCAGGATGAAAGACTCGTAAATTGGGTTCTCTTATATTCCCCTAGCTATATATCTAAGCAACTGCATGGCAGGTAAGTTTATGCTCAAAGTGACTAGTGGTCTTATAACACACATTTAATACATATATACATTCCCTTTCAGACCAGAGTTCCATCAAAGTGCGGCTTCCAGAGCTGTCTAACTACGGAAAGAATCAGGTCGTTACCATTTGAATTCCTGGTAACCAGGCTTAAGATCCCCTGAAAAGGGAGCAGTCTTTCTGGTCCTTCCATTTGAGCTGGAAGGACCGACTGACTCTGGGAACCGCATTTTGATGTATCTCTCAAAAAATTATTAAAGGGCCAAAACACACTCAGCATAGGCCCCTTTGAGGAGATTTCTTTGGTCGATCTCTTCAGAGATATCAAACTGTGTTTCGGCGGGCCATTTCTGCAGGAAACACGTGTTCGTCAAGCTGACCCATCTACTGATGAAGTACCCCATAAGGAAGTAGCCACATTAAAACCGAGTCCATCTTGGGTGACAATCCAGTCGATCTGAGGTTGTCAGTAATTCGTGGCAAGCAAACTTTGTATTGCGTTGAGCATTTTTGAAGAGCAGACAATTGACACACGTACAAAGTCCATCCAGAACACTATGACCTTAAAAGAGCGTGGTGGATATGGCCTACACTGCTACCCTGAGTTGTCAGCCAAGCAAAGCAAACTGCTCTACGTCTTCCGGAACAAGTAATATTGCAGCAACTACTTACATGTGTTCTGATTCTTACTGCACTGCTTCTGTGGGCATGTGTGTGTTAGAGCAACGCATTTTCGATCATCTATGACACATCCGCTGATACTGACCACCAGAGCACAGAGCTTCTAGAAACTGATCTCGTTGCGCCCATATTGGTGAATTTCATAAAGCATGAAGAACTATTTCGAGAAAGTAACATTAAGGGCATCGATTTCGTGATCATTAATTTGGACTCAAGTCCGCACTGTATGGCCCAGTATAAACCGATAGTTCTTGAGTGAGGCTACGCTTATCGATTTATTCATGTGTGAACATAGGGCAAGTTTGTGCTGCCATCTGATACTGCTTTTTGGCGGGTTGTCAACCTTTTTTATTCAGAAGTTTATTGAATTACCATGGCAGTGGTTTTGGACGGTGATGAAGTCCGACTTCACACTGCACACTACTCTTGAGGTAGCTGAACCCTCAGCAATAGCAATGTGTAATGTCAGGAAAATGTAATACGATATCTCGAATATGTTAGCAACTGAAACATGAAGCGACCCTTGTGCGGCACGTTCATTTAAATAGCATCATAAACGAGAGATTCAGCTGATATTCAGTCTTCTTCCGCTTACCACGCATCACTTAGCAAAGGTATTTGGCGAATTGCGTCCAATCTGAGTTCAAGTAGGACATAAGGTCGACTGAAACTAGGGGACCGCATTTATCGGACGACTCTGAAGAAGGACGAGACCAGTAGTGGGCTACCAAAGAGTCTTCAGCAACCCTACGTGTGTTGTTCCTTCAAAAAAATATACGCGATATCTAGAATACCGTACCAGATGAGACACGAGGTGGCCTTTGTACATCACATTCAGTTGGAAAATAGCATTAACGATACATCTTTCATTAACACCAATGTAATTTGTAGATGAATACACCTCACCAATGAACTCTTAGCATATTACGGGCCTGATGAGGATGGAACCTAGTGCCACTTCACTGTCCCCAGTGTTACGCTTGTATTATTATAGAAGCCTAGAACGTGTTGATTGATATTTGTTCCTGTTGTAAGCAAAACGGTTTTTCGGCATTATTATGGAAGACTAAGACATGTTGTAAGCACAATGGTCTTTTCCAACAGAATATATTAGGGTTTCCGTTGAAGGGACTTGCGTTTTTTCTGTGAAGATGAACCGCAATGTCGTTTGTAGGTAAGGTTATGAGTCATCTATCTATTCGATCGTCACAAAATAAAAAATAGCATCCCTAATCATCAGCCGTTCTATAGTTATCGATCACCCTCCTTTGGTGCCTGTCTGAATTTGGTGTCGACTAAGTAATACGGCCTGAGTTTCGAGAGGTGAATTAGGCATAGCGCAAGCGCTTATCTCGGTCACACACTCGATTGAACGGTCCTGCTGCAGTTATTTCGTTAAATCCGCGCCAAAGAGGGGAAGCACTGGACTCGAGTTTTGCGCTTATTAAAGTTGATCAGCATTGCTGGTTTTACACTCCGGATATCTGACATGCCAGGCGAGCATGTTTCCCCTCCTCTTCCCCGGAGCATTCTGAACGCATCGGAATAATCATGTCTGAAAAGGCGAACGTGTTCACGCTTGAGGGAAAGCTCGAACGACTGCACTAATTGTGTTCCGTCAGGACTTCTCAATAAGTCCGAAACTTGTTGGACAGTCTTGAGTAGCTGTGGCAGGATGAGGGATCCGTAGATTCATATTCACACCACTCTCATCCGAACAATCCTCCTTTTATATTCGCAATGCACTATTCATAAGGTTGCTGAAAATTCGTCGACAGCTCACGACCGGTTTCGCCCTTCTTGGGGCTCATCAGGTAAACACAGTCCCCGAGTTTCCGTCAACCATATGTTCTACTTGAAACCAAATTGCACGAAATTAGCGAAATACACTCACTTGCAAACTAATTTTTGGTTTTGCGAGAGACTTATCTGGAACACAACTGAATCTCTCGTTTGTGGTGTTATCTGATGAGCCCCAAGAAGGGCGAAACCGGTCGTGAGCTGTCGACGAATTTTCAGCAACCTTATGAGTAGTGCATTACGAATATACATGCATCGCGATATCTCGAATATCGTAGCGACTGAAACATGAGGCGGCCTGGTGCAGCACATTCAGTTGCCTGAAAACATCACAAACGAGAGATTCAGCTGGGTTCCAGGTGAGTCTCTCGAAAAAAAAACCAAATTAGTTTGCAAATGAGTGTATTTCGCTAATCCTCTTTTTGTCTTGGAGCCATCATTCAGGTTCGTCCACCAAACAAGACGTGATTATTCACGTGCTTCCAACATGCGCTAGTGCAATGGCGGTAGCACGCTTGCCTCTCATGTCAAGCCAATGGGATGCACTGCTGATGAGCTCTAATATGAGAGAAACTCGGGTCCAGTGCTTCCTCCCTTGGGTGTGGACTCACCAGAGTAATTGCACAAGGATAGGAGGACGACTGTTCGAATGAAAGTGGTATGAGTACATACCTACAAATCAAGTAAGTTTGCTTAGTGGACAGGCTAAGGCACACAGTGCTAGATCTCAACGAGTGCTGATCACTGCAGATGGTATTGTGATTATAGAGCGAAGTAGTCCTTTCGCTAATCGCATGACAGCTGAATAAGGATATGCATATATATATGCATATATATTATATACTGCTTTGTACGGTTGTGTCTGAACACACTTTTTTTATCTCATTTGCCTTTTAGCCCAACAAATGCAACCAAAACTGGCAGATTCATTTTAAAATAACTTTGGGAATCCTGATATCCTAATCCAATGTACCATGAAGTTATCGCCGTAGAAAACTCTAAAATCAGGACTCACTTGATAATAATTTTTGGGTACCGGACCACTATCTTCTGGCACCTGCGGTACAGGTGTTTCACGCAGCTTCTTTCCGTAAGCTTGCACTTCCCCAATTGGAATAGGTTTCATTGGTTTTGAATAGTTAGCGTTTGGATTGCCAATGATGATATACCGAACGGGCTTTTGTGGTTTCAGCACAATCTCTCCTCCCGCTTTTTTAAATTTAAGGTTTGAAGCGAGTGGATCCCATGGGTAGAGAGTTTCATAATTGCATGGTGACATCAGACCCTCAAAAGTGTGCACATCGAATGGAACATGTACCTTCAAATTTTCTGTATAAAAAAGTGGAAAAAGGACACGTTCGTTTAATAGGACCTATTCACTCCAGTCTGTTGCATCCCCCTCTGACCAAGTTGGTCGTACAACAGTCTTGCGAAACCAAGTTTCACTAGAATTGATGAAATGCCCCCAAGCTTGGATAACGTGTACATGATACACTAGTGACGAACAAACTCACTGAACGTTCCTTCGTTCGGGCAAAACAGGTTGATTGACGTCAACTCATAGACAGCCCCTAGGTCCACGTAATAGTAGGGAAATTGGGCAGCATCCGGTACAAATGCTGTTTTGAGATTCCCATCGACTGCGAATTGCTGCCAGTTGCCGATGCCTACTACGGTTTTCTGCAATGCCACATTTGGGACTGCAAGGAAGATGAATGAAGAAGGTTCAGTATGAAACGAGCTACATGCTGCTCACGGACAGTCTTTGTGCATCTCAAATCTATAAGTACTCTACTCCTGACATGAGTTGGACGTTTGTGCCGGTTTCTTCGCAACGTTCGATGCACTCGCTTTCCAAAGTACTAATAATGCACATATTATTGGACCATTTCAATAACATCTGAGAAACTGAAGAAGAATGGAGTGATTATGATAGGATTTCATGCATAATACCTCTAACTAGGCTTAACGGGTATACGACTTGTTCCGCTTGTGTGTGGTCAAAGGATGGTATCATAGACTTAGCACACTTAAATGTTCAGTGTGTTAAGGAAAGTCTAGAAGCCCAGGTGCGGACAGCCAGCCGTTGAGACCATCCACTGTTAATATGCTTAAGCCGGACCTAACACGTACGGCAAAACATGGTTAGCCATGATAACCAGTTCTAGCATCGTCACAGGCTGAGTTATCTGGAACCCCGGCCAGCTAGAGCAGATCACCTGAACTCATTTTCCCGGTTGGTATTTTGCCGTCAGAACACTGTGCTATATTTGGCGTTGACCCAGTAGACGATGCTCACGAGCGCAACTGCGCACGTCGTCGCAGGCGATCCACCAGTCTATCCCAAAAGCTTCCATTACCGAGTGCATTCTAGCTCTCTGGCAAGAGGATGTCACCAAGTGAACTTACGGAAGCTCGACAAATTCAATTCCCTCTAAGTAGTCCCGTTCCGTACTTGGACCTCCCCATTCATAGAGACAATATGAAAAGTTTCCAAATATGTCCCGCGACAGAATTACGGCTCTTCTGCTTCTGACCAAAATGAGACAGTATTCGGTCAGTAGGCAAAAGGTTCCACCAGAATGCAACCATAAAAAGTAACGTGAATCTTACGTGAAAGAGCCGATGTAAAAACAGAGAGAGACAGTACAGGATAGCTCCCTGAAGCTGCTGTCTCGTCCGCAAAGTTCTCAGTGATGCAATCATTTGGTAACATACATCAATCATCTTCTTCCGGTTTACCGATTCTCTGAGTGGCACTTTGACTCATACCTTTCCACTCCCATTTTGCATTAGGTGGACTAATGTGCCCTGTTTTCTCAGTCTTTTTCGGAGTAAGTAGACGAGTTAGCCAGTTTGGTGACTTTAGTAAGCGGAAAAGAAGCAGACACCTGTGTCTCGTGGTAGTGAGTAGTAGTATACCCGCTCCAGTATCTAAGTGTCTGTACCGGAGTCTTGGATAACGATAAGTTGAGTCAGCTTGGTCATTTCATGAGCTGTGGATTCATACGTGACCAGCCCTCCCCGACTGAAGCCTAGTTCGTGTGCATGCTCCTAATGCCTTCATAAATCTTGTTCATCGATGGTGAATTTTTGACTACTGTTGATGCTATAGCTCTTTCGCTGATTTCTGGTGACATGAAGTTCACTTCTAGACAAGTGGTGTTGAACTTTAGACCGACTGAACCCAGCGGGGTTCCACTGAACTATCAGCGTACAGTATCTTAGCGTGTCATACTTTACGTCCCCTGAACACGTCTGGGAGCCTCAGTGATAGAAGTTACTGTGTTTACGAATTTGTTCTTATGTTAGCTGTATTTGAAACCGTTCAAACTACCAAACCTTATCGATATCCAAGACGATGATATTTGGCTATTCATTGGTCGCTGGCTTGTTCGCTGAACTGGGCAATTTGGTTGCAAAAGTTTCATCACCAATCGAGGTGACATCATCAGTGCGTAGTTGTGTGTAGGGGTGGGTTAGTGGTTGTGCGTTCAGTAGTGTTACGTGTTTCACTTCCGGGAACCGCAACGTACAAACTAGCAAAAGACTTATGGAGAAGATTAAAACACTTAATCTCCGGATCGGAACACACGATCAAAAATGCAGGTCAGTTCCTACGCAAACTACGGAGCTTCAGTATAGAAGACTATGAAGTCATGCTTTCGCCTGATGTCACATCACACTTCACTTCAATCAACCACAACCTAGCACGGGTAACCATAGCCGAATTGCTTCGGAATAATTCAAACACGACGGAAGCCATGAAACGTGAAATATATGCAAACTGTTGGACTTCTGCAAGGATACATACTTTAGCTTCGATGGACAAACATATCAACAGCTGAAAGGCACTCTAATGGGCTCCCCAATATCAGGATTTATTGCTGAGGTGGTAATGCAAAGACTAGAGCGTGTGGTACTGCCGATAATCAATCCAGAACTGTGGATCCGCTACGTGGACGACACCTCTGTCATCATGAAATGGGACTCAGTACACGAGACACATGAACTGCTCAACACCACTTTTGAAGATATCAAGCAGCAATCACCCAGTAAGCCACAAAAAGAGCTGCGTCCGAACCTTGTTCAAGAGGGCGGAAGCACACTGCAGCACCACAGAACTGCGGAAGAAGGTAGAAAGCCATCTATTCAGAGTGTTCTAGAAGAATGGATATCCAAGGAGTTTTATCAAGACAAGCTTGAAGAAGAAGACATCTCAACAGCAGCCACAACAAGAACAAGCCATCAGACGGGTAATCCTACCTTACATCAAGAATATATCAGAACTCGCAACCAGATTATTGGCTCAAAAAGGAATCATCGTGGCCCACAAACCGAGTGCTACTCTAAGGAAATCAATCTCTAGACTGAATGACAACCGGGACAAAACCAAGAGGAACAACGTGATATACCAAATCGACTGCAACGACTGCAACAAATTCTACGTTGGACAAACTCGGGGAAAATTATGTACACGAATAAAGGAACACAACGCGGCTGTCAGGAGGCACGACCCCCTATCCTTGATATATATACACGAGGACCAGGAAGGTCACAAATTCAATCTGGAAAACGCAGAAATTTTGGCATACGGAGACACGTGACACGGAAAGGAATTTCTGGAAGCATGGTACCATGCGGCAGGTTCAATCAACCGGTGCATCCAACTGGATCCAATTTACGCACCTCTACGTGCAAAAGACTAACATCGCAACCGGAACACTCAAGGAGGACCGAATAATGGACTCACGAAGGAAGAAACAAGGAACTCCTCGGAGTCAAATCAATAAAGGTCACAAGCCGGAACTCGGAAGGACAAAGGTCACTCCAACATCGACCAGACTACGACGGCGAGGGCTGCCAAGTTCAAAGGTCACGTGGGCGTCGGCGATAACAGAACAACCAATGGAACCGCCCGACCGAATAACTAACCGCGGTCAAATGTCACCCCCGGCTACCGGCACGTATATCAACACACACGTAACACTACTGAACGCACAACCACTAACCCGCCGCTACGCACAACTACGCACCGATGATGTCACCTCGATTGGTGATGAAACATTTGCAACCAAATTGCCCAGCTCAGCGAACAAGCCAACGACCATCTACGCTACTTGAGCTACCGACATTCTCCTCTATTGGCCAGTCATAATTACATCACTGTCATGGAAGACAAGATGGCCAGGTCTTGGGAAAAGAAAACGCACCGGTCCGCAATGTTAATCCTTTCCAGTTTTCGCCTCTTTTCCGCTTCATGCTGAAACTGGTCAACCTGTAACCCCGGACTAATATCGATCGAGAACCCACAGGATACACCAAGTTGACGTCCGATGAACCTGATCTTGTTTGTCCAATAGTCCCATGTTGTCCGGATAACCAACACTCTCACTCTCCTTCGTGACCATTGAAACGATATTACTGGTACAGTTGTAACCCGTTTCATGCATGTAACGATAATGAAACCACCTGAATGTGACCCGCAGGCCCATTCACAACTTACTCATCAACCTTCCGTTTGGGTATTCAATAAGTTACACAAGCCACAACAGGCGATTAACAGTTACTTCCGTGGCACTTCTCAACTGAGATATTCGAGGTCATTCGTTAAATGATTTTATGGTGAACTGAGAAGTGAGATGGTTTTCTTGAAATCACTTTCGATCAGTATCTCGTTTGGCATGTGCACATGCTACATCTATCATTTAATGGAAGGAACCTGTGTAGAAAGCCACTTTTCTGTCGTTCCTGTTTCAAGAATTTCTCCTAAATTCACTTTCGGGAATCTCATGGAAGCCAAAGCGTAGTTCCTGTATCCTGACGAATTTAAGCGAGTATACTGCAGAGTTTCCTACATTTCAGGTAGAGCATTACTCTGTCCTTTATTTATTTGATTTCGCGTCACTTCAAGAACCGTGTGGAGACAAATTCTCCTTCTTTCCAACTGAGATGTTTCATAACTGGTGTCAAGTTTCTTTTACGTGAAGAAAGCACTGTGTTTTATCCTCCCAGAGAAGACCACGTTTGGCCATGATGAGACAACACGCGGCAGCTAGCAGTAATAAGATCGAGCACCTGTTCATTGGGTGGCCATGACACATTTCCCGTCAGCATCTAAAGCGATTTCGTGCTGCCCATTTGGAACAAAAAACATTACGGGACACTCATACTGTGCAGAATAAGCAGCAGGACGATTGATGCTCCAAGCGAAATCAGAAGTCATTCGAGGAACTTTTTTGAAGTGGATTGGTTACTCAGTCGTTCCTTTATGTAAATAGACAGCGTGCTACGATATGACATTCGTGTGATCGGGGAATCGACCTTTATTCCAATTTGGTCAGCTATACGTTAGTTAACATTGGTCAGTAACATTTCGACTGGCGTTTCAATGTACTTCCTGGCAGACCAACCACCATAAGTTAAGCAACCGAATGTCCTCGTCAGTCAGTGAAACTAACGGAGTCTCTCATGAGGACACCTGATTACTCGGTAACTCGGGCTATATGTTCATATGGTCTCCAAACTTCAAACTGGTACCCCGAAACGATTGTTCGCACACCCCTTCTCCCCAGAAATGGCGTCGCCTTGTCAGTAATCGGCCGGACAAAGTTCGGTCTGGGTCGAGGCACAGCGGAAGCACTGCGTGAGGGAGTAGTGTCACTGTCTATTTTTTACGGTGGCCTAGTTACGCACCAACACTTGTGCTCGATCAATAATGCTTTGGTAGGTGTGCTGGCAAAGTCATATTGATTCCAAACATATGTTGCTGCCATTTTGTCCGGTGACGCATCTGTCACACAATGGTTTACTTGCAGGAAATTCGTGCATATTATGCCTTCTTTTCTTACGTCAGAGTTACAGATTATCAGTGCTTAATTTGCACGACTGTTATGTGGGGGGTTTGTGGGTTCAGTGCGTGGTGTATGTACAAAATGAAAAGCCATCTTGCGCGCAGAGTTACGCGACTGGTCGAGGGGGAATTTGCAATAATCCCATTTTACGGTGACTTCGAAAAAATACTCACCAGTTTGACCTGTGTTGGAGAACTAAGGACGACCGGTTTCTAGCACGATGTGGTCTCCCACAGGTGCTGCGACCAGACAGAAATAACCGTGACAACGCTTTACAGAGAGGCAACAAATCGGATAGGAATTTCTCTAACTAGCACCGACTTGCATAAAGTATTTACGAATTCATCTCGAGGGATCAACAGATAGAGAAGTGTCTCTTATCGTTACTGAAATAGCGCGTGGATCGTCCGTCAATTTTGAGGTAATACTTTCATGCTCGAATCTACGCTTTCCTCTACCAGGCAGTTAAATGGCATACTTCTGAGTATCAACATGACGGAAATAGATGATCCGACGTCTTGAAAAGTTGACTACTGATTTGTGCGGATTCGGTCCAACGAGGGGTTTACGGTTAAACTCTGCTACAGGAAGGGCTGAGAGGACCTGTAAAAAGCGTCCGTTGTAGATAGCTTGAAGTAGTGATGGTCACCGGTCCACAGAATGAGATGTATCTCACCCCCTATCACTTGCAAGTATCCAGTTTGCAACACTTCAGTCGTATGATAGGGCGAACTGTTAGAGCGAGTTAGACATCGTATCACAGGAAAGACACTGGAAACTCCGTTCCCTCGAAAAATCTCATTTGAAAATAAAGGTCTTCCTGCAAGCACAACTGTGCGGAAAGCGTATGACACTGCTGAAGACAGTGCAACAAACAGCTGCACAGCTAAAAACACCTTCGTGAAAACCAGTGACGATGAACGAGTCCATGGTTTGTCGAACACTTCACAGCGTACAGTGATGATACACCAGATCCATCACGCAAAGAAGGAGCAGGTAGCCGTTCACAATGCTCTTAGAAGGTCGTAAGAGAAAGGCGTCTTCGAGGAGCACAAGTATTCAAATAACAACCATCATTAAACTTACTTTCAACGTGTAGGAATTGATGGGGGAAGGTGCGTGTCTGATGTGCGAAATGTTGTGACAGGAGAGAGTAAGCGTTATTGAGAAAACCATGTTTTACTGAGCCCCATGTCTGCACGCTGCATCCTACGTCAGCAAACACTGTGAGATATTTTTTGAAGGTGTATCTATTAGTAGGTTAGCTTAAATTCCAGTGAGTGGTCAATGCGATCTGTTTGTATGAATTTCCATCCACTTAGCCCTATGTTTGCACATTGTTTTTTACGTCAGCAAACACTGTGAGATATTTTTTGAAGGTGTATCTATTAGTAGGTTAGCTTAAATTCCAGTGAGTGGTCAATGCGATCTGTTTGTATGAATTTCCTCACGAACGCGGTTGCACTTGACTGAATCTCTCGTTTATGATGTTTTTAAGCAACTGAATGTACTGCACAGAGGCTACCTCATGTTTCAGTTTGTACGATATTTGAGATATCACAGTAAATGTTCACAAAAGAGACTACTCACAAGGTTTCTGAAAAGTCTTGGACATACCACAACCGGTTTCGCCCTTCTTGGGACCCACTGGTTTGGCGCTGTCCCCAACTGTCCCTCAAAATTACGTTCTACTTGAATTCCAATTGAACTGATTTCGAAAAATACACTTATTTGCAAGTCAATTCGGTTTTCACGGGAATTCAAGTGAACCTCTCCTTTATGATGTTCTTCGATTGAATGTGCTGCACACAGGCCGCCCCATGTTTCAGTTGGTAGGATATTCGAGATGTGCCACACACATCATTCAGTGAGTCCTCAATGGTCCGTGTGAAAAATGAATCTTATACCACAACTACGGCAATTATAGACGGGTAATTGCTATATCATTCGAAAGAAGGCGACAGCTGTGATAGTACCAAGCTGCCAAGGAAATAAATAAATCAAGGGAGAGCACTGCCCCAACTTGATGAATCTCACTTTTGGCAGAAACGAGAATATAAATTGTATGGTGATGGGTACAAAATTGAGATCATAAAGTAGAGTTTTATATTAGCGCAAGTAATTTGCGGAAAGGAGGTACTGGAATAAGGTACTAGAATTGAACAGGTATCGCTTCAATTTGTACAATCCTTTAATTACCCTCAAGGCCTTCCCACTCCCATGAATATGAAAACCACTGCGCTTGAAGGATTTTTGGGAGTTTTGTAGTGTACTACTCATGAGGTTGTTGAAAATTCTTCGACAGCCCACGACCGGTTTCGCCCTTCTTGGGGCTCATCAGGTAGGCGCAGTCCCCGAGTTTCCGTCAAGGTTATGTTTATGCCACTGTGTTTATGCCACTGCGAAACTGGTGAATGCCGCTCTTAGACACATATGTGGTATGAGGAATATACGACAGAAAAACCAACTTGCCTTGAGATTCTACAATGGGTGACAACAGTAAGGCAAGCAGGATATCCCACGAGCATTGACCCATTACACGATATTCCCTGCTCAGACCATGCGAATAAATAGCTTGATAGACCAGCTAAACAGAGTAGGATCGAAAAAAACATTGCCACGAAATCATTGTTGATGTTGATCACGAAAACTGTTCGGCGGCGCCACACGGTGAAATTCCTACCCCGGAGCTTTCGCTGAACTCACTTCCTGTCAATAAGGGCGCCAAGTTGTTTTGTTCTACAGCAATTTTTTGTGCACAACTTCGGAGTGGTAGGTGTTTTATGTCCCGGAATGCAGGATTCTACTTTTTTTATAAATCTTTCGAAAGGTTATATTGGTACGATTAACTGCTTACACTTGGCATTGGCTACGAGCTCCGGCAGTAGCCACTTTCATCCACGAAGAACAATGAGAATCATGTATCCGTTAGACAAACATCCTGGAGTTCGATCATATGGAACAACTTGAGTATGAAAAGACAAATAAGTGTATGCCTATCTGGTCCTGTATACATGTATAAAGTCCCCTTTAAAGATGGGTATTTCTTGGACACCGAAACTTGCTCACTCCGAGCAAGTGCTCTAGTTTAAAAAGTAACGGTACTTAAAAATTCGGGAAGAATATCAACCATACTACTTTCTTCTTAGTAAAAGCGTGGCATTTTCGTGGCTTTCGAGCTTTTATCCAACTTCCTCACTATGCGTTGAGAAGAAAAACTGGGGTTTGAAGGTTCCTTGTTCTCGTTCCAAAAATTACGGTGCAACAGGTATGAGTAAGCTAATCGAAGGAAGGATACAATAATAAGTCGTCCCTTTCGATATGACTATTAGAGTTCTTCAAACAACTATCAAAAATCATATCGAGTATCCGGAATTCTTGATATCCTTCACAATGTGCACCCTCTTACGGGTAAAGTTTGAAATTGGTCTTCCAGCTTACTGGTGGTTTAAGGAATTGAAACACTCATGTCGATAATAACGATGAGGCTGATGAGAGCGATGACACGGGAGTATGGTGATAGATGCCTCATTCTCTTGACTCATTTTCAACTTTCACCATCCTCCAAGCTTGGTAGCAGCTGACACCCAAGTTCCCTTCTCACGGTTCGCTCCACCGAATTTTATACGCCAACGTTGGGGATTTTCCATTTGCAGCGAGCATTTGTCCACTTCCCCGTGGAATAACTGACTGAAGCAAGAGTGTGACCAA